AATATAGCAAAGTACTATAATTCCAGAATATTATTAAACTAAGCAAGGGGGGTGGTTGTTCTTTGAGACAGGGTCTCATTTTATAGCCTAGGCTGGCTCACCCAGAATTCCCAGAGATCTGATTGCCTGTCTTCTGAATTAAATGTGCGCATGACTAGCTTGGGCCCTGTCTGTGAAATCTGTATTTCTGTTTACTCTGATGTCTCTCTTGAAGTACAAACTTCTCAAGTACACCATAGTCACTGTGGCTAGTGGTCACCAACTCAGACTATTACTGATACAGAGGAAAATGGGGTCCCCTCTTGGGGTCCTTAGTTTCATTAATAAAGGAATTTAAGAATAGGCTCAAACGAAAGCTCAAGGTCAGTTTTATTAGAGTTTTAGAAAAACTGTCAACGAGCTGTAAACCTCAGCACCTGTCCGGAGGAAGAGGATGGAGGCGAGAAAGGAAACAGCCATGCCATTTAAGCCCGCATGGAGGTCAGACATGTGACGGACAGACAGGCACAGGGAGGGGAGGAAAAGTTTAGGAAGAAACTATAAGGAAGCCTAACATGCTGGAAAAAAAAGCCCGAGGGGTTAAGGAAAGGGAGCTTCAAAAGGATAGCTTAAAAAAAAAAAAGTTCTTCAAATCAGAAATGCAGGCTGACTCAAGCCCCTTGGGGGGGCGGGGTGCTGCAGTCTGTGAGTTACTGCCCTCAGGGTGGGTCTCTTTAGCATGGCCTAGGGTGAGCCCGCCTTCCCAGGGGTGGTCCTTTAGCCAAAGGGTTTGAACCCGCCCGACTGGAATTGTAAGCCCCCACTGCAGCCAGAGACTCAGTTTTTTTGACCAGAACTCCGGGGTGGTGGTGTGTGTGTGGGGGGGGTTTCTGTTTGCTCTTCCGATCTGGTGCAGTGTGCGGTGGAAATGGGAGTCACGCTGAACTCACCCGGCCATTTATCTCCAGCAGATGCCTTCAGCATTGATCATTAAAGAGGAAATCTGCTGTAGTTTTTTGTTTTGTTTTGTTTTGTTGTAGATACCTTCATGGGGATAAGCCATTTCCTTGCAGTCCTAATTTACTTTGATTTCAAAAACCTAAGCTGGGCTTGGTGGTGCATGCCTGTAATCCAGACACCGAAGCACGGGTCACCAGGGATGGGGCCTCTTGAGCTTTACTCTTCTTCATTTAAGTGCTTTTTGGTAAATGGCTTTTTTTCTAGGAACTTGCCCTTGTAGTTAAGATTTCCAAGAGACGTAATAAAATTATTCATAATCTCCCTGTATGTCTTCACTTTTCACCCCTGGTGTTAGCCAATTGCGTCTTCTCTCTTTTTTCTTGATTATTTTTTTACCAGAGAGTTAGTCAATACTGTTAGTCTTTTCTAAAAGAAAAAAAATCCCAGCACTCGGGAGGCAGACTCAGGCAGATCTCTGAGTTCAAAGCCAGCCTGGTCTATAGAGTGAGTGCTAGGATGGCCAGGGCTACGAAGAGAAACCCGGATTGCCTGCCTGTATGTCTGTGTATCACAGACACACTTAGTGCCCTCAGAGGCCCTGGCCTGAAGTTACCGACAGCTGTAATCTGTCTTGTAGTTGGTGGGAATTGAACCCCAGTCTTCTGCTCTGGAAGAGCACACAGTGTTCTTAATTGATGAGCCTTCTCTCCAGCTCCTACCCTAGAACTCTTGATCCTTCTGCCTCTGCCTCCTCAGTGCTGGGGTCACAGGCACTTGAGCACCATTGAATGCCTGGTTTCTCAGGATTTAAAAATACGTAACATTTTCATTCTCAATCAGTTAAAATATTTTATAATTTCCGTTATGATTTTTTTGATCCATTAGTTATTTAGAGACATGTTTGTTAATTTCAAAATATTTGGGGGCTTTTGATGTCATCTTTTATGAAGGTTTTGAATTTAACTTTTTTTGTTTTGTTTTTTGTTGTTTTTTCGAGACAGGGTTTCTCTGTGTAGTTTTGCGCCTTTCCTGGAACTTGCTTTATAGACCAGGCTGGCCTTGAACTCACAGAGATCCGCCTGCCTCTCGAGTGCTGGGATTAAAGGCGTGTGCCACTACTGCCCGGCAAATTTAACTTATTATTGTATGTGTGCCCTGTGTATTGCATATGTGTCGGTGTGTGTACCACAGCACGTGTGTGGAGGTCAGAGGACAGCTTTGTGAAGCCAGGTCTCTCCTTCTACCTCTATCTGGGTTCCAGAGATGGGACTCAGGTCACTGTCTTGGGGGGCAGGCGTCTCTACCCACTAAGCGATCTCACCAACCGCATTTTGCTTTTTTTTTAATCTTCACCTTATCGTATACTTTATGTATTGAACATTTCTCGAGGTGAACTGTTTTGGTAAATGTTCCTTTTGTATGAAAAAGAATCTGCTGCTTGGTGTTGACACTGTGTTCTGGAATAGTCCATTAGTCAGGTGTAGGAATCATGTTCAAATCTGCAGTACCTTACTATTTTTCTGCTGGTCCACTGAGGGGAGGGTGCCCTCCCTAGTCTGATCTGTGGATTCCTTTGTGTTGGTGGAAGTGTCTGTCTTCTGTTTTGTTTTCACTTTTTTAAATTAATTTATTTTATTTCATTTGCATTGGTGTTTTGCTGCATGTATATCTGTGTGAGGAAGTCAGATCTCGAGTTACAGACAGTTGTGAGCCGCCATGTGGGTGCTGGGACTTGAACCCAGGTCCTCTAGAAGAGCAGTCAGTGCTCTTAACCACTGAGCCATCTCTCCAGCCCCTTTTTTTTGCACTTTCAGCTGTGGTGTTTTGCATGCCAATTTGAAGACAAGCCATTCTCCAGCAGGCGCCGTGGACCCTGCAGTGTGAAGGGTCTTCCTCTGTCTTTGTGATGCGTTTTCCCTCATATTTAAATAGCTGCGCCAGCCTTTCCCCTCAGCCTTTGCCTGCTGTCTGTCTGCCCCCAGCCATCTACTGTCCTTGCCGCACAAACACCCCTTGGAGTTATTTCGTGTAACTTGCGTCTGCTGGGATTTCTTGCAGCCTGGCGTTTTAAAAAGTTGACCGCGGTGTTAGTCCACTCAGTTTACGGAGTCACGGGACATTGGAACCTCTGTCATCTGTTCATCTTTCTCTCCTCTTGCTTGGTTGCCGTCCTCGGTTCTCTTCCTCTACCCTTGTGCACAGCACGGTTCTCAGAGTTTGGATACGTCTGGTGTTTACCCTAACCTTGGTGACTTGTGTGTTCTCAACTTATCCCTTCTTTATTTCGCTCGGGGATGTGTAAGAATCTTAGCACACGTCAACTCCGGTCGCCCTAGTTACTCAAGGCGCCTGTTGATTTTTCCGTCTGTTTTTCTCTGGAAAACGCGGTTTCTGCTTTTGTACCATCAGTGTTTTTCATTGTCTCTTCCTCAATGAATCAGACCTCTCTGTGTGCTGGTCTCTTCCCCTCCTCCCCACCCGCTACCCCCAGTTCCTCGTTTGGAATTCCCCTCAGGGATGGTCAAATTCCTAGTGTCTGTCTTCGCCAATGTCTTTATTGTATCTTTGTTCTTAGCAGACATTTCCACGGGATATACTGTTCTGGATGATGCTAATTTTCTCTCGGGACCGGTACTTGCGTCCTCTGCCTCCTGGCTTCCTTTGCGCTTGGTGAAAACTCAGGTGTCCATATAGCATTCTCTTTTTATTTTCTCGGCCGGACATAGGTGTTTAGAGTTTATTTTAAGAATAGGGAACTACGGGATGTTTCTTAGCACTGGGTCACAGGCCTGGGGGAGGGGGGCGCAGCGAGAGGAGGTTGTTAAGAATCCGGGTTGTGGGGGTGGTGATGCTGAGGGGCGGCCCTGAGTCACCTCCTGGAGGTCAGAGCGGCTGGGATCAGGAGGAAGCGGGCGGTGTGGGGGCGACCCCGACCTGATCGTCATTGTAGAGAAAGGCTTGGGGGCTGCGTCGGGGATTAGGAGTCCGTTCGTTCGTTCCACACTTAGCTGCGACGAAAGTGCAGAAAACCGAGGAGGTGGAGAAGACCACTGGAGTCGAGTCTGTGGCGGGCTCTGCTGCCGGCAAAATAAAGCGTCTCCATCTGAGATGAACTGTTACTGCCTAGCTTGGACTACGCGCTCCGGGTGGGAAACCTTTGCTGTCCGCCCCCTCCTGCCGCGCCAAGGTCCCCGCCCGGCCTGGTCTCCTTTGTGGGAAGGGGAAGCAAATGACCGGTTTACTCCGCCTGTTTCCTATCTGCATAACACGGCCCCACACCACTTCAAAATTTCATTTTTATTTGATTTTTTTTGAGACAGGGTCTCTCTCTACATTGCCCTGGCTGTCCTGGAATTCACTGTGTAGACCAGGCTAGCCTCGAACACATAGGTTAAAGATGTGAGCCACAATCTTCAGCCTTAAGATTTTTTTGAATAGTTTATGTGTACGCGTGGTTGCCTGCTTGCCCACGTGCGTGCCGCGTAGGTCGGAGGATAGCACCGAATTCCCTGGAACTATGGTTGTGAACCATAATGTGTGCCTTGGGGACCGAATCCAGGTCCTCTGAAAGAGCAGCAGCAATTGCTCTTAAACACAACGCCATCTCTCCAATCCCTGTTTTAATTAATTTATTTGAGACAGGGTCTTATGTGGTTCAGGCTGGCCATGAACTCCTCCTGATCCTCCTGCCTGAGTAGCTGCCCAAGGGTTGAGATCACAGGCCTGGTACTCTCGGCTTCAGGGCCACACCATTTCGGACCTTCCGAGTCACTTGGGAGGACTTGGGGGGAGTGATCACGTCCAGCTCAGAAGCGGAAGAGAGAGATGGGGTGCACCGGAGATCGTTACGCTCCAACCCCAGGCTCCCAGTAAGTCGGGAGCATCAGACGCGCGGCCAGCCTCCCTGCTTGGCTTGCAGGCGGGGTTAGGGGAAGGGGCGGGGTTAGGGGAAGGGGCGGGGTCCCGGCCGCGAGGGGCGGAGCTGACCCGCTGGGCGCTCTCAGAGGCCCGCCCCCCTCCCCTCCTCCCCGCGCGCGCGCTCCCGCCCGCCCGCCCGCCCGCCCGCCCGCTCGCCCGCTCGCTCGCTGGCGCTGAGGAAAACGTTGCGCAGGTTCAAAAATGGAACGTCGGCGGCGGCGTGAGGGAGCGCTAGGGGGTGTGCGCGCGTGCGCGTGCGCGTGCGCGCCCGGCCGAGCCTGACGGGGTCCCCGCCGCCCCGAGCATCGCGCGCCGCAGCCGCGGCCCCCGCAGCTCCACCCCCCGGCCCGGCCCGGCCCGGCCCCCGGCCCCTCGCCCGCCGCCCCGCATGGAGCTGTCAGCCATAGGCGAGCAGGTGTTTGCGGTGGAGAGCATCCGGAAGAAGCGCGTGCGGAAGGTGAGGCTGCTCGGGGGCGGCTCCCGCGACGCGGCGAGGTCGCCTCCTGCTCCCCAGCACCGCCCCCTCCGGGTCGGGCCGGGCGGAGGGTAGTGCGGGGGGCACCTGGGGACCACCCTGCGCCGCTCGGCCCGCCTCGCAGCCCGCTCCTCCCTTTGCCCGCCGCCGCCGCCGCCGCCGCCGCCGCGGAGGGCCGGCCCGAGTTAAAGTTGTTGCCCTGAGATGCTGGTGCATCTGAGGAGGCCATCTGGGATGGAGAGGTGGACGGGACTGGAGAGTCTCAGCTCCGTTCCGCCCCGGTCCCCTGTACCCTCCAGTTTCGAGGAGGGCTGACGCTCACGTTGAGGAAGCAACTTGCGAGGGTGTTCAGAGTCAAAGTGAGGCTCGAACTCGGTCCTCGGGGGTTTTCGGTACCGGGCCCTTCGAAGTTGGCAGCAGAGCTTTGGGAAAAGGAAAAAAAAAAAAAAAATCTCCCCTGGTCTCTGAAGTTTCCCTGTTGGACTTTGACCTTCCCGATCCCAACCCCCGCACCCCTCCAGGGCACACCTTTCTTTTCTTTCCCCCAACCTTCCCCTCCCCCACCGACCGACCAGCCGGGTGCCCTGGGCCACTGTTGTTGGGGCATCCTCGAAGCTCCTCCCCCCCCGCTGCCAAGGCCTTCCACTCCTACCCTGAGATTGAAGGAGGCGGTTCTGCCGCGCTCAGGACCACACACCTCAGCCCAGGAGTTTCCGGTCCAGACCTCAAGTGTGCGCTCTTTGTGCACGTGCTTGCCGAGGGGCTCACCCCCCAGCGTGAACTTGGATCTGGGCGCATGCATGGGGAAAAAGTTCTTCTCTTGGATCTACTAAAGATCCCCTTTCCCTTTTCTCCCTGCAACTCCTTGGGAAGCTCCTGGCGGCCACTTTCTCCCGCTTGACTGAAGTGCAGGCCGGGGAGCACCTGCTGGGGGCGCCTCAGCAGGGGTTTGGGTGGACCCAGAGTGGGTGGCTTGGGGCTATGGCTGTCTGGTTTGAGCTGCCTCCTGACCCTGCCTTCCCGGAGTACTAGACTGAAGCGGATATGGCCATCATCGCCTCCAACAGGGCACAGGGGTAGGTCAAAGAGGGAGCACTTGATTCGTTCAGCTCAGCACTCCAAACCTACACTGAGGCTGCTGCAGTATGCTCCAGGTACCGCTCTGAGCCCGAGGCTCCCTTTTCTTAGAGCTAGCCTTCTGGCAAGGGACACAGATGCGGGCAGGATGAATGAGGAAGTAAATGCAGATGCCTCTGGCGGACGAGGTGCTTTTCATAAAGAACTGTCCACTGTGTGGTGCTAGGAAGGAAAGCTTTAGCAAGGTACTACAAATTAACCTCGAAGCTCGCCCATGGAGGTGCTTTACTCGGTGCGTGGGGCTGGGCTGGACGCTCAAAGACCCCCTTTTCCTCCAGACTCCAGTTTCTAACAAGTGCAGGGCTGGCCGTCTCTCAGTGGGGTCCTTTTCTCTCCCAGAGAGAAAAGCTAAGGTCTCCAGTAGCTTTCTTTCTAAACGTGAGGAATCATGGTCTTGGCTTGGGACTTCAGCCACTGTGCACGGCTATGCATCTACGCTTCCATGTGGTCTCAGTTTCCCTCTGTGACATGAGCCCCTGTCTTGGAGCCCAGCGATGTTTGGGACCAGATGCACCTCCCATGCTGCAGCGGGGAGGGCTGTGGGATGGTCATGTGGTAGCCAGAGTTTGGGGCAGCGCCTCTGGGTTGAGAGGATCTGGCCCAGAGCCTTGCCGCTCATAGACTGGTCATACTGTACTGCTGCGGAGGGTCCCTTGGCCTGTATTGTCCCGCAAGTGGTTGTGGGTGTGTGTGTCTCACTGTCTCTTTTTGTCTCTTCCCAGGGCAAAGTGGAGTATCTGGTGAAGTGGAAAGGATGGCCCCCCAAGTAAGGCTCTTTCCTGTGTGTGTATTCCCCTGCCTGTCATCCCCTCCCCACGCTGGCTTCGGCTCCTGTTGCTCTTGTGACTGAACAGCAAGCTCTAACTCAATCACTAGCTTTTCTAGGCCTCAGTTCCCCTCTGCTAGGGGGTGTTCTGATTGTCCCCTCATCCTGCCCCCCGCTTCTGGCCATGGGAGTTAAGGCCCAGCACCTTGGCTTCCTCCATGGCTGCTGGCCAAGTGAAGAGGTCCCCATGCGGAGCAGGCACAGTGCTGGTGAGACGGGCACCTTGGGCAGTGGATCTCCAGTCCTCCCTGCAGTCAGCGTGGAGAGGGATGTAACCTGGGTCATCTTGCATCTGGACGGTACTCCCTTGCCTACAGAGTAACTCACCAGGCATCCTTTTTAAGTAGGTGTGATTCTGAGCTTTTCAGGTGAGGAAACAGTCAGAGATGGTCAGCAACTTGACTTAGGTCACACAGCAAGGGGAGGCAGTGCTGGGACTTGAACTAAGCCTGACCATCTTTCAGGCCGCTCCTCTGTGTCTTCCCAGGACTCTTTCCTGGTGTTGTGGGGGAGAGAGTTAGATATGCTACCTGGTTCAGCTGGTGGACCTCTGGTGTTGAAGCCTGATGAGGAACCTTCTCACTGACCAATCATCTCCCAGCAAAGAGTTGTTGGGGTTGGGAACAAGCTAGATGTAGGACCTCTTACTGGTTTGTGAATGCTCTGCTCTGCCTCCCAGAGACTGGCTTCTGGAAAACCCCCCTGCTTTCCTGATGGCTCTGATAGCCCTGGAACTTTCTTCTTATGTGTGTGTGTGGGGGGGGCATATTGGGAGGGGTGGAGGTGGAGGGAGAGGGCTGACTTGTGATTGGGTCCTGGGGTGTCATGGAGGATGGTGGGAAGAGGGGAAGTCAGTCCCTGAGTGCCCCAGCTTCCCCCTCTACAAAGTGGGTTCAGTGGCCCAGGGCTTCGAATCTCTTACAGGCTGCTTAGCCTGGCAAGGTGAAAGGCCTGGGCATTGGTTCAGAGTGGACCACAGGCATCCAGGTGTGTGATGACACATTTGTCTACCCTTCCCAACCCATCTTCCTTTCCCAGATGGCCTTCCACTGGTCACTAGTGGTCATCTGGCCTGGGCAGAGAGGAAGGGAGTTAGGGCAAAGGGAAACAGTGGCCCGAACAGGGCTCAGTTTGCTGTCCACGTCCAGCTGCAGCTGACCACATCGACAGCTTCCCTGACGGGAGGGGAGCTAGGGCTTTGAGAGCTCTCCTGTTTCTTTCCAAAGCCATTGACTAGATCACCTGAGGGTGATGCCTTCTGCTCCCTTTGCTTCTAGATTTCAGGCCTGGCTGCCTACTGGGCACTTATGAGCCCTTGGGCAACTCATCACCTCTACTTGCTGGTATAATAATAATACTGAACCCCCAAAGCCTCTCAGAACCAGTGTCGTGAGAATTGAACTAATAGTACAGGGTCAGCTGAGGAGGCCTTTAGGCTGTTTTTCTGTTGGAAGGAAAGATTTCCATTCCAAATAGGAGCTTAAAGTTTCCTTAGAACAATATGTAGTCTTTTCAGATGGGGAAACTGAGGCTCAGAGAGAGGAGGTTATTACAGGAACATAACTGCTAACTCCCACCTCACAATTCCTGTTTCATATGATGCCCGCTGCCTGTGTGGGTCAGGTCCAGCTGGTTTTCAGAGAACTGACTTGGAGCAGAGGTCGAGAAAGTGTGGGGAGTGGGTGTTGTCTGGCCTGGGAGTCCTGGGCCAGGGTGAGATGCTCCCGTTTTTGTAGCTCCTCTCCTCGTGGCTAAGTAGGGAACTACTTATTAGTAACTGTGACAGGAAGGTACTCTGCCAGGCCACTGCAGAGCCATTTTGTTGCTGCCCATTTTCTCCCCAGCAAAAGCAAACAACAGCCTCCCTCCCCTTCCCAGTGGATGTGGTAGAGGGCAACTCTTGGATCCTCTGGGCATCAGGCAGAGGGTGTTGCTCCAGGTGCTCTGTTCGCCCTAGAGACCCTTGGGTACTGCATTTTTGCCTCTGCCTGCCCAGCACCCTGCAGCTCCCCATCGTCATTCTTTCTCCCCACGCGTACAGCTCCATCTTTTCAGAAAGACTGCTCCCTGGAGCTTCAGTAATGACGTCATTTACCAAGCTGCCAGTGTGAGAGCCCCAGTATGAGCCAGGCATCACCCACCTCAGTCCTCATTTGAGATTCCGACCTAACCCCTGGAATACATGGCCAGCACCACGCAAGGGGCCCTGGGGTGCCTTGCTGTTAGCTTTTCCGGGGTCAGACTATCATGCCTCCTCATGAACTTGGGGTGATTGACAAGCTATGACGCAAGGCAAAACTCTTAACTTGGCTGTGCCTCCATTTCCTCATGTGTGGTGAAGCCCACTAGGAGTCAGTAATGCACCCTGGCAGCCAGGTACAGAGCAGGGTGCCGCCTCCTCCTCGCTAGGCCCAGAAGCCTGGTTTTAGCCCTGGCAGCCATGCCCGCAACTCTAGGCTAGGGAAGCTGGTTTAATGAAGGCTTCTTGGATTTTATTATATGTCACACTCAAGTATGTGCGTCATGTGGCTTAACACATGGGATCTTCTCCACAACTCAAGGCTAAGGAATTACGGGAGACTCAGTTTAGAATGAGGCTCACAGTTGGGGCGGTTGAAACTGGAGTCATGGAGCTGCCGCTGGCCTGGCTCCGCGTGGCCCCAGCTCGCCCGGTTTCGTGTACAGCTCAGCAGGACCCTCCCCCACCCTGGAACGGCAGGCTAGGGCCCGGCGACCTGTCTTGCTTGGGGTGCTGCGCCCCACCCCAATCGCCTGACCCCCGGCTCGAGGGGGACTGCGGAGAAGGGGCCGGGTGCGGTGGCGGAGCTTGTTTACCGGGCGGGGAGGCGGGGCTACGGTCACGTGGTCGTGTTTATCTCCAGCAGGCAGGCAGGCAGGCGTGCCCCGCCCAGATAGGTTTCCAGTGATCCGGCTCCCACTCTCACCCTGTGCTTGTGTGCGCGAGCGAGCGCCGGCTCTCTATGTGCACCAGATGCTTGCAGCGGCACTTTGCGGCCAGTTTTGGACTCTGCAGGACCCTGCTGTTTCACTTTGCCTCAGGGGTTAGCGGTCCTCGCACCACCGGCCCTCCTGCTGCTCCCTTTCTCTGCCTTGGGACTTGGTTCTAGGACTCTGGCCGCCCTTTCTGTGGTTTCACAGCTTGTAGGGCTAAGGAGGGCCTAGATATAGGCAGTGATCCTCCCCCAGGGATGCTCCAGCTTGTGGGGAGCCCAAGGAGGTGACCTTAGGCAAGTTGCTTAATCTCTATGCCTCTTTTTTCATCTGTAAACTGGAGTGATTATTTAGGAACCTGCCGTGGTGTAAGATTATGGGGGATTCCTCAGACTGGTGTGTTCTCGTGACAGACAGTGGGGGCATTGTTCTTTAGATGAGGGAATTGGGGTGCAGAGAAGGGTAGAGACTTACCAGGAATCACATAGTAGCTGCAGCAATAAGGAATGGGCCTGAAGGGGGGCAGGGCAGGCTAGAGATGCTGAGTAGGCAGGGAGGGTACAGTGGGCAGACTGGCTCTCCCTTCGTTGGGCAGAAGGCATGAGTTCCACCTGCCCTGGTCGGGGCAGCTCAGCAGCTTTCCTGGAACACCTGGGGCTGAGGTGTGCGTTGCACTGGTCCTCCTTAGCAAGGACCAGTTGAGCCGGGATGGATGGTGGGGAGATAGCTGCTGGACTAGGAGAAGAATGCACGCTGGGGCTGGTGATGCTCACTGCTGAAACCTGAGAGGCAGCCCAGGATCCCATGTGTCAGCTGAGTAACGAGGGAGAAGGAAGAAAGTTCTGTACCGGGACCGCTTGCCCCTCTGCATGGTCCAGTGTCCCTGAGACTTAAGACAAGGGTTTTAGCTCTTAGGGTGTCTCTGCCTCCTTTGTCCCTATGAGCCCTCCCACCCAGTTGCCTGCTTTCTCCAGGAGGACGTTGGCCTGGATCACAGAACATGGCCTTGTTTTATTTATTTTTTAATTATATAGCACTGGGGGTTGGTGATTTAGCTCAGTAGTAGAGTGCTTGGGCCCTGGGTTCGGTCCTCAGCTCCAGGAAAAAAATTATATAGCACTGGACATGGTGGTGCAGGCCTTTAATCCCAGCTCTAGGGAGGTGGGTTTCCTGAGTTGGAGGCCAGTTTGGTTCACAGAGGGAGTTCCGGGACAGCCAGGGCTACACAGAGAAACCCTGTCTCAAAAAAACAAAAAAAGCAAAGCACATACATACACATATATGTGTATGTGTATATAATTTGTTTATTTACATATACTTCATATGTGTATTATCATTATTTTATTTTATTCTTTGATAAATTCATGTGTGTATAATTTAATATCTTTATTTATTTATTTATTGTGTATATAGTGTTCTGGCATATATGCCTACATGCCAGAAGAGGGCACCAAATCTCAACATAGATGGTTGTGAGCCACCATGTGGTGACGGGGAATTGAACTCAGGACCTCTGGAAGAGCAGCCAGTGCTCTTAACCTCTGAGCTATCTCTCCAGCTCCCATAATTTAATATTTTAAATATAAAAGATTTAATTTTAAAAATTAGGCACATGAATGTTTTTGCTTGCATGTATGTATGTGCCCCACCTGAGTGCCTCAGAGGCCAGAGGAAGATGTCCCTTAGAACTGGAGTTACAGGTGGTTGTGAGCCACTGTGTAAGTGCTGGGAACTGACTCAGGTCCTCTCTGCAAGAGCAGTAAGTGCTTTTAACTGCTGAGCTATCTCTCCAGTCCTAAATATGATTATATTTAAGTCCATTTCCATCTTTTTTGGTTTGTTTGTTTGTTTGTTTGGTTTGTTTTGTTCGAGACAGGGTTTCGCTGTGTAACCTTGGCTGTCCTGGAACTCACTCTGTAGATCAGGCTGTACTCAGAAATTCTGCCTTTGCCTTGGGAGTGCTGGGATTAAAGATGTGCACCCCGCTTCCATTTCCCTTCATCTCCTTTTACTGGAACCATTCTTGCCAACATTGTCTCCGTGTGTGTGTGTGTGTGTGTGTGTGTGTGTGTGTGTGTGTGTGTGTGTGTGTGTTTGCTTGCTTGCAGTCACTGAGTTTAATTGTGATCGCTTGCTAATATATGGATGTGGGTTATTTACTGGGTCGTAGGTGTCTTACCAGTAGCCACACCTCTGAAGAAAATTGACTTCTTTCCCAGCAGCTGTGGACTTCCAATGGCTCCTCAGCTAGGGGCATAGTTTTGTGTGCTTCCTCCCTCATCCATACTGCAGTGTTGACAGGCTCCATTTTGTGCAAATAACCACCGCTCCTGTGAGTTCAGGAGTGTGGTAGCCATGTCATGTCCAGGACAGCATCTTACAGCACTCCCCATCCTCTGGCTCGTACATTTCTTTCTGCCTGCTCTTCTGTGATGTTTCTTGAGATTTGTTGGAGAGGACTAATGTAGATGTCCCGTTTAGGGCTGAGCACTCAAAATTTAAATCATGCTCAGCATTTCGACCTTTTTGTTTTGTTATGTTTTTGTTTTTCCTTTTTTTTTCCAGAGCTGAGGACCGAACCCAGGGCCTTGCGCTTGCTAGGCAAGCGCTCTACCACTGAGCTAAATCCCCAACCCCTGTTTTTGTTTTTCAAGACAGGGTTTCTCTATAGCAGGCTTTCTTAGTCTGTCAGCCCCCAAACCATGACACAGAGACTTATTAAATATGAATGCCCAGCCTTTAGCTTAGGCTAGCTTTTATAACTTAACCCATTTCTATTAATCTATGTGCTGCCCCAAGGCTCATTTACATACTGTCCATCCTGATTTCCTACTTCCTCTGTGTCTGTCTGTCTGACTCCCTTTTCTCTCTGCCCACAAACCCCGCCTATCCCTCCTCTGCCTATCTATTGGCCAGTCAGCTCTTTATTAGGCCAATTAGGCGCCTTAGGCAGGCAAGGTGAAGCAGCAGCACATCTTTACATAGTTAAACAAATATTCTATTCCACAACATTTCTCTGTGTAAAAGCCCTGGTTGTCCTGGAACTCACACTGTAGACCAGGCTGGCCTCAAACTCAGAGATCCACCTGGCTCTGCCTCCCAAGTGCTGGGATTAAAGGCATGCACCACCACCACCCAGCTTCACACTGACCATTTTAGAGTCTGCATTAATTCTGCCCACTGCAAAAAGCAGCTTCTCTAAGATTGAAAACAGCACAGATCTATGGGTATAAACACTTAGAACAGTTTGATAGCATGTCCCTTTAGCAAAACAACAGATAGGTTCCCTCCTAGGAACTATGATTTCCCCTCCATGGCTTTTTTTTTTTTTTTTTTCCCCGAGACAGGGTTTCTCTGTGTAGCTTTGCGCCTTTCCTGGAACTCACTTGGTAGCCCAGGCTGGCCGCGAACTCACAGAGATCCGCCTGCCTCTGCCTCCCGAGTGCTGGGGTTAAAGGCGTGCGCCACCACCGCCCGGCCCTCCATGGCTTTTAACCAAGTTTACAGCCCCAGACGTAAATTTTCTTTTGTGGAGTTGGCCTCAATTCAGAAAGCGGTTGGTTACTTACCATTTATGCCTCTGTTATACCATTGGCAGTATCTTGCCTAGCCGGTCAATATTATAGCAAGCAAGATTCACCACTGGGTAAGACTCTTAGTGACTTTTCTTCCCAGCAGCCTGCATGGTACCTTTCAGAACTATGAAAACTAACCAATAAGAAACCCCCAGGATGCCGGGCGGTGGTGGCGCACACCTTTAATCCCAGCACTCGGGAGGCAGAGCCAGGCGGATCTCTGTGAGTTCGAGGCCAGCCTGGGCTACCAAGTGAGTTCCAGGAAAGGCGCAAAGCTACACAGAGAAACCCTGTCTCGAAAAAAAAAAAAAAAAAAAAAAAAAGAAACCCCCAGGTCAGTTTTAGCTTGATTATCTAGGTCTTATAGTTAAAATATGTGGTGTCTTCAGTATCAGGGTCCTACTACCTAATTTTGGTGGGCAACCAAGAACAATAACAATAACCTGTTTTGTTTGGGCCCTCTGGCCTTCTTGTCAAATAACTCATCGGGAGGCATCTCATGCCTGGCACTGAGATTTTCATTTAATAACCTGTGCTTTCTGGGAGCAATAGCATCCACTTATGCAGGATAGCTCCATTCACAATCCTGTTTTTAAAAATACTCTGTGTGTGTGTGTGTGTGTGTGTGTGTGTGTGTGTGTGTGTGTGTACAGGTGGGAAGGTGCATTCGAGTCTCACTGTGGCAGTTAGAGTACATCTTGGTTCTGTCTACCTGGTAGGTACCAGGGAGCAAAATCAGATTGTCAAGCTGGGCAGCAAGTGCCTTTACCTGCTGAGCCATATTACCAACCCTTAATCTCTTTAAAATAAATGTATGTGTGTGTGTGTGTGTGTGTGTGTGTGTGTGTGTGTGTGTGTGTGTGTGTGATAGTGATGGTGATAATGATAATGGTGATGATTATTAGTTCATGTATGTGTGTGGTTATGTGCACATGCATGCAAGTTCCCAAGGAGACCAGAAGAGGGCACTGGACCCCCAGGAGCTGGGTGTACAAGCAGTTAAGAGCTACCTGACCTGGGTGCTGGGAACTGAATTCCTGCTTCTTGCAAGTGTAGCATGTGCTCTTAACTGCTAGGCCATCTCCAACCTCTATGTTTTAAAAACTAGCTTACAGATTAGTGGTTTTCCATTGACTTTTCATACATCGGTAGTTTTGATTGACTCTCTCCCATCCCTTGTTCTCATCCCCACTTAAGCCTTTTTCCACCCCTGACGTTCTGCTCCACTCTGACGCTTGGGTCTGCTCTCCCCCTCCCACTTCAAAACCTTTGCCTCTGTCTCATGGGACCTTTCGAGTTTGCTGACCTCCACAGACACTGCAAATTAACACAAATCTGAAAATCTGAAACTAGGCTCCATCTGTATGAGAGCATGTGGTGTTGGTCTTTCTGGACCTGGGTTACTTCATTTACTGTATTTTCGACTCCCATCCATTTTACTGTGAATTTCTAGTTTAATTTTTCTTCACATCTGAATAAAATCCCATTGTATATGTGCCACATCTCACTATCTGTTCATTGATGAACATCTAGGCTAATTCCATTTCTTCGCCGTGATGAGCAGAGCAGAAACGAACACAGGTGGACAGGTAGCTCTGCAGTAGTCTTTAAGTACATGCCCAGGAGTGGTGATTGAGCCCATGCTTCTTTTTTTTTTTTAATTGAGACGGTCTCACTATTGTAGTTCTGGCTGGCCTGGAACTCAGTGTGTAGACCAGCACACCCAGGCATCCATCCATCCATTTTTAATTAAGAATTTTATGCTTGCTGGGTAGTGGTGGTGCACGCCTTCAATCCTAGCACTCAGGAGGCGGAGGCAGGTTGATCTCTGACAAGGCCAGCCTTGTCTACAGGGCAAGTTCCTAGACAGCCAGGGCTACACAGAGAAACCCTGTTTCAAAAAAACAAAAGAAGATTTTCTACTTGTATTCCCACTTACTGCTTTGGAATTTTATTTATTTTTGTTCTTTTAAGATACCTGTCATCACTAGATGTTTAGCAGACACCTGTTATGGGCGAGGCTGAGAGACGGGGCTGCAGGCCTTGCTTGATGGCTGGGGCTGGGGCCAAGCAACAAAAAACACAAATAGCAAAACCCTTTCTCTGCCAGGCACTAGTGTGAACGGCCTGAGACCTTTAGTCAGTACTTGAGTACTGAGAGAGGGACACGGAAGCATGGGGCTGCTGCGTGTGTAGTTCAAGGTCACACGGGCTGCTGAGTGTGTAGTTCAAGGTCACATGGTCAGCTAAGATCAAAGCTGGGATTTGAACCCAGATAGGCTAGCCCCAGAGCCCCTGGCAGGCTGTGAGATGAGGAACGGAGGCATCCTTAGACCTCAGGAGGATGTTAGAGCTAACTGGAGTCTGGAGTAGGAGTCTGATCACAGTGTGGCATGAATGGGGGGGGTTGTGACATCACACACCTCCCGAAGGCCTAGGCTAGGGCTCGTACCACACAGGCCAGGCCAAGGCTAGGTGGTGGGCTGGCATAGAGCACAGCTGCAGCCTCTGTGACACTGGTGGTGGCCGGGCAGCGCTGACTTTTTGTTCTTCTCCCCAGGTACAGCACATGGGAGCCAGAGGAGCACATCCTGGACCCCCGCCTTGTCATGGCCTACGAGGAGAAGTAAGGGCCCTGCCTGTTCTGGGCCTGGCCTGAGGCCAGCTCCAAGATGTCTCAGGAAGCCTGCCAGTAGCTTGGCCCTGGGCAAGAGTCTTTTAGGGCAGGGTGGGTTAGGGGGTGTGTGACAGGGAAAGGTGGTGGGTGCCTAAGACCTGTTCCTGTATCCTGTTGGTGTCTCCCTATCTGGCAGCTTTTGCCCTCCTGTGACTTCTGAGTCCCAGGCTTGAGGATTCATTCAGAAGCACTGACAGATGTATCCCATGTGGGAACGACAGCATCGGGCTCTCCCTGTCAGAGGAAGAAGTCTGATGAGGTCAAGCAAGGCCAGGGATGTGAGGAAGGCTTCCAGCTTGGCCTCTGACCTCCTGTCAGCACCCTGAGAGTCATGATCCCACCCTTCCCATGGGCTTCATTGCTCCCATCTGGACCATGGAGTGGGGCACAGCTATTGTTTTAAATTACGTGTGTAATTCACACACACACACACACACACACACACACACACACACACACAAGTGCCGCAGCGCATGTGTGAAGGTTAAACAGTGACTGCATTGGTTCTCTCCCAGGGCACTCAGGTTGTTAGACTTAGCAGTGGGCTGTTTGCCAGCTGAGAGATCTCAACAGTGTCCCCCACCCCATGCCTGTTTTTAGATGCTCTCCGTACGCCTGTAGCCCTGGCCCACCTAGGCTTGTGGCTGATCCACCACCTTCCTTCTCCTACTTTCTGGACTTAGGGTGTATGCTAATGTGTCTAATTCTCAAAACTTGTTGTTGTTGTTTTTGGTTTTTTGAGACAGGGTTTCTCTGTGTAGCTTTGGAGTCTGTCCTAGAACTCTTCTCTGTAGACCAGGCTGGCCTCGAACTCACTGAGATCCTCCTGCCTCTATCTCCCAAGTGTTGAGATTAAAGGAGTGCACCACCACCACCCGGCGAATGTGAATTTTCTACAAGAGCAGCCAGTGCTCTTAACTATTGAGTCCTTTCTCCAGCCCTTCATCATTGCTCTTAACTCATTATGATGGTGTTCCTGTCCCACACTTTCTCTCTGTTCTCTGCTTCTTGGTCTAAAACAGTGGTTCCCAACCTGTGGGTCATGACCCCTTTGGGAACCTTTTTACAACCCTTTTACAGAGTCACCTAAGCCCATCAGGAAAACACGGATATTTACATTATGACTTGTAACAGTAACAAAATTACAGTTGTGAAGTAGCAATGAAAATAATTTTATTGTGGAGGGTCAGCACAACACGAAGAACCTATATTAATGGGTTGCAGCGTTAAGAAGGTTGAGAAGCACTGGTCTAAAGGGTTGTGTCACTGAGAGAGTCTTGTGGACTGTCTTGGTTTTCTGAGACAGGGTCTCACTCTATAGTCCTATATAGGAACTCACTGTATAGACCTGGCTGGCCTTATACTTGTAGCAATCCTCCTGCCTCTACCTCCCAAGTGCTGGAATTACAGACATGTGCCACCATGCCCAGGTGTGTGGACTGTCTTAGATTGTGGCAAAGAAAGTGGGAAGGATCCAGGCCAGGTGCCCATTCCTCGAATCGAGATCATTGCCTGGCAGGGTGTGGTAGCTCCCACCAAGAAGACCAGTTTCCGACATTTGGGGAAGACTGGTTTATGGCTAGCCCAGAGGAGGAGGTGGCCTAAGGTCACCCGGCCATAGTGGAGAATGAGCGAGCTCCCGGCCCACCTGTCTGTTGTCTCTGGGGTCTTCGTGGTGGGCTGCAGGAGAATGAGTGGAGGGCACGGAGACAGAGTAAGAGGATGCAGTGTCCCCATGTCTTTGGCACTGCTGTGTGGAATCTCGAGTTGTGTCATAGGCTGACCCCACTGTTATGGCCCCAGAGAGCAGTGGGAAGGGTGTGGGATGGCCTATGTCCCCAACCCAGGGCGGTGGTGGTGGTGGTGGTGGTGGTGGTGGTGGTGGTGGTGGTGATGGTGGTGATGGTGATGGTGATGGTGATGGTGATGGTGGTGATGCTTCACTTAGATGTCACCAGTGTTTATTTTTCTTCTGCCTCCTTCGTACTCCCAGGGAGGAGAGAGACCGAGCATCAGGGTATAGGAAGAGAGGTCCGAAACCCAAGCGGCTTCTGCTGCAGGTAACCACTGTCTCTGAGCCTCCCCCTTGCCCTGCCCGACCCTGCCTGCCCCCACCTGCATGTGCATCGGCCCTGGAGCCCATCTACTCACCCTACCCAGCGCCACCCAGTGAACTGACACTCAGTGGGTGCATTTCAGTAGAAGGGGTTGGTTAAAGGCCACATGTGGAGCTGGAGCCAGGGAAGTCAGCCTGGGTTGGGGACTCCGGCGGGCCTGAGGGTAGACATGTAGCCAGTCTTTGAGAACTTGAAATGTTGTGAGTAAGCCTTTTTGTTGCTCCAAATCTCTAAACACAAAACAATCGAGGATCTTAGTGTTGAGGAAACATGGCAGGCTAGGATTGCAAAATCCAAGAAACGGACACCCTTAGCATTCTGAACATGACCTTGGAACAGCAGACTTATAGATCCATGTTCTCTTTGGATGGGAAGAACATGAAGCCTGTGTTGTCCTGCCTTACAGAGGTTTCTGCTCATTCTCAGGATGCCTTAAGTCTCGGCATAGAAGCCAAAAGAGTATGAAGCCACGTGGTTCAGTGATTCTGGGCAGGTCTGAGTGTGTTCTCACCTGTGAGGGGTGGATGAAAGTATGCGTTCTTGATTTCATAAGGCCCATCTGGGCATTTGGCTCGTACGTGTTTAACCACTCCTGGTGCTGGATTACTTCGGGGTCTCTTTAGTGGACAGGATGGCTCGCCTTTAGGTGGAGACGACCTATGGGGTCTGTCATAAACTGGCCTTAGGAAGGAAAGTGGCCTTTACTAGACATGCACCCAGCACACGTCATAAGTGGACACGTTCCCTCTCTATATCTAAGCGGGGGAGTTGTAGTAGTCATCTACTGCCGTGTGACAAACTCCCCCAGCACAGCAACTTGAAAATGGAACTGTTATTGTATCATGTGGCCTCTGTGGGTCCAGAAGGTGGTGCGGCCTCAGCTGGTTGTGGAGTGCCTCAGATCCTCTCCGGATGGTTCATGTGCCAGTGAAGCGGTGCTGGGGGTTGGCGGGTCCTCTTGTGCTGGTGTCCTCACAGTCAAGTAGGTGCTGGAGGTTGGCGGGTCCTCTTGTGTGGGTGTCCTCACAGTCAAGTAGGTGATCAAAGAGCAAGGGAGGCCCTGCAGTGTGTTTGTGGCCTTGCCTGGAGTCACACTCTGCAGAGGTCCAGAAGGCAGTGCTGACGGACACAGGCTAGTGTCTCTGTCTCCCTTTGATGCAGTCCTGAAGGCTCAGCCAGGCTTGGGGCTTTGCCTGGGGTCACACAGCGGGGTAGAATCCAGCTCTGACTGGAGGTGGCAGGGTGAGGTCACAAAGACCAAAGGATCTTGCCCTGAGATGGCTTGTGAAACCCTGAAGTCTCCTGAGGGCTGGCTTCAGGGCAAGCCTTGAGGTCCTCGGGCAGCCCTCTCACCCTGCCAGTGACCATCCCATATGTGCACAACGGTGAACAGGCAGGGTGGAGTGTGGGGCTGGCGGGTGTCACCGCTTCCTCCACCTTGAGGGTTGGTGACCTCATAGCCCCATTTGATGGCGCTTTTCCTGGGAACCTTGGCCTCTGGTGGCATATGGCAGAAGATGCTGTCCCAGTCCCAGAGTAATATGGGGTTTTCTTTGGTCTTGATCTAGAATTTTTTTTTTTTTTGAGCTGTGCAAATTTTACCCCAAGTTGGGAGGACAGACTCCCCATTCTAGAGTTCCAGCCCTTAGGTGTGTGTGTGCGCCATCCTGCTCTGCTTCACTGAGGGTGAGTTGGCAGCAGAGACCCAGCCCCTAGAGAGGGCCCAGGGCAGTTGCCTGCAAAGAGCAGGTGGGGCGCTGTTTCTGCAGGCTGGACTTAGCCTCTGCCGTCCCCCTGAAGAGCCTGTTTCAGCTTTCAAGGCTCCTTGGGAGGCAGACTCCTCTCTAAAAGGCAAAAAGCCTCCTCAACGTGTCTACTTCAGAAATCGAGTTTTTTTGGTTTTGTTTTTTGACTTTGAATAGCACTTGCTATCAAATCCAGGGCCGTGCATGTGGTGGGCAAGCGCTGTGCCCCACTGAGCTGTGCCCCTACCCCCGTGGGTCAGTTTTCAGTACACTAGTGTGCTGCCCTGCTGTGGGTCAAAGGAATAAGCCCTACAGCCCTGACCCTCGGCCCTGGGGAGACAAGGCCCATGCTGTGGCCAAGAGGGGTGACTGGACTCAGCGGGTGTGGGGCTGGGCTGGTGTGGGCCCCTGGACAGCGGTGCAGGTGGAACAGAAGAGACCTGGGTCCCCTGGGGAGTTACAGGACGAGCAGAGGAGCCGCAGTGGGAGGCGGGCTGACCCGCGCCCTGGCTTGCCCCTGCTTGCCCCTGCAGCGGCTGTACAGCATGGACCTGCGGAGCTCCCACAAAGCCAAGGGCAAGGAGGAGCTCTGCTTCTCTCTGACGTGCCCACTCGGCAGCGGGAGCCCCGAGGGGGTGGTCAAGGCGGGGGCAGCTGAGCTGGTGGACAAGGGCCCCTTGGTGCCCACCCTGCCCTTCCCACTCCGCAAGCCGCGCAAGGCCCACAAGTACCTGCGGCTCTCACGCAAGAAGTTCCCGCCACGCAGCGGGTCCCACCTGGAGAGTCACAGCCATCGACGGGAGCTCTCCCTGCAGGAGCCACCAGCCCCAGATGTCCTGCAGGCCGCCAGCGACTGGGAGCCTGTGGAGCAGCCCCCTGAGGAGGAGGGTAAGACGGTCATCCTGAGACCTCAAACCCTGAAAGGCCCCTGACCTTTGTCCAGTGGGGCTGGAGACCATGCAGCTGTGGAACAGTGAGGACTGATTTGGGCCTGACCCCTGCCCATCCTATCTAGCCGGGCAGGTGCATGTGCAGCCTCCTAAGCATCCATTGGGGGATGGGCTGCATGCTACCATCACTGCTAATTGACCACTTTGTGCCAACCTGTGCCTCATCTGTGTCTTTGTCCCATGTCCCATGACTGCAGCAGAAGCAGACCTGGCCAATGGGCCCCCTCCCTGGACACCCACGCTCCCCTCAAGTGAAGTGACCGTGACTGACATCACCGCCAACTCCGTCACCGTCACCTTCCGTGAGGCTCAGGCTGCCGAGGGCTTCTTCCGAGACCGCAGTGGGAAGCTGTGAACAGCGGCTTCCCTTCTTCTTAAACTGTGTTCCTTGGGGCTTGGGTGAGGAATTCCAGAGACAGGAGGGGCTGGGAGCACGACAAATACTTTATTTAAGAAAAAAAAGCAGAAGCATGGGGAAGACCCCACCACCCTGCCCTTGCCCCATGAGGGTTGTTTACAAAGGGGCCTCTGGGACAGGGAGGGAAGGCCAGTGTTGTCTGGTTCTCATCTCCAGGGCAGATGGGGATGGGCTCCCCTGCCCAGTATGTCTCTGTCATTATCTTACAGAGGCTGATCCTAGGAGTCGGAGGAGCCCAGGAGGTCCAGACCTTGCCTTGGCAGTCACCCCAGCTTTCTGGTGGTGTCCCCTCTCTGTTCCTTGGCTTGGGTCTTTACTATGAACTTTCCACTCCAGCTTTGTGGTGGGGCATGGAGGCTGGCTTTGGCCACCAGGGGCAGGATCAGGACAAAGGGTGTGGACTAGACCAGAGAAGAGGTTGCCTACCAAGCCTCCTCTGAATGTGCTGTCCCCTCATCACTGGCCTGTGTAGAGATGCCCATGAACACATCCAGCCACCCCAGTGTGTACACACTGCCTGTGTGTGTGTTCACACCTGCCCCATGTTTATAGACCTGTCCACATGGACCTTGCACACCTTTAGAAACTGATCAGGTGAACATGGCCTAATTCACAGCACAAAGGAGCTTGCCACGGCACCGTCACTCTACCTTGCACATATGACATGGGACAGGATCTGTCTGTGCGACAGGATCAGACAGCTTGGGCCCACCCTGGGCCTGATGATGGCATCTGATCTCCCAACCACAGATAGAACCAGGCTCCAGGTGTGCCAGCTGCAGATGCTTCCGCACAGGATTGTAGACACTTGGCCCTTCCTTCCTCCCACAGGAGTTCATGTTCTTTCTGACTCAGGTGACTTTTCAGCCCTTCCAGCCTCCCCCCCCCCCCCCCTTCTCTACCCTTTCCTGCGGCTCAGCTGATCTGGGCATCCATGGATGCCAGTGGGTGTGGGCAGTCAGGGAGGGAGTATCCCCCACTTTCTCAGGGCAGTCCTTGTCTTCTGTGTTCCCTCCCCACCCAACCTGAATGGCACTGCTAGGGATGACCCCTCACACCTTGTGGGGATTGAACCGTGGTACATGGTGAGTCGGGCTGCACACAGGGCTGTGCTCCTGTGAGGAGCAGTTCACTGCTTTGCACAGGTGTCCTAGAGGCTGACACTCTCCTCCCCGAGGAGGGGCAACTCCCTGGTCATTGCATTGCTCTCTCGCCCCTGCCACCATAGGAACCTGTGTGGCTGGGTCCCAGCAGCCCCCAGTTCTGCTGTGTTTTTAGGAGGCCAACAGAGTTTGCGTGAGCAAGGGCGGGACCACTCACTCCTAGACTCTCCCATTCCCGAACCAAAGAGCCTGTACCCTGTGTCTGTCTGGGATTCTGTCCTCAAATTTCTCAAGTCCCTGGTCTCCCCCCTCCTCCTCCTCAGTTCTTAGTTGTCCAGGGTTAACTCAGTGCTTCCATTGGGGGCAGTCTCCTATGGGTGACCTGCTTCACCTCTGTCCTGGAACCTGAATCTAGAGAATGTCAGGGTGGGCTAGGGAAAGGAGAGTCAGGAGGAACCCCAGCTCAGAGAAGGTGAGGGTGGGTGGCGAAAGCTTTTCTTTGCAGCTGGGTTTGCTCCCCCACAATACTGGGGGACAGCATCCTGTGGGGGGCATGCTCCCCATCCCTAGGGGCATGAGACTAAATGCCTGTGCATCTTGGACCAGGAGGCTCCAGTGGGGAGAAGAGGCCTTTCCGGGCAGCTGTCTTCTGTCTTCAGCAGCAAGCAGTGTCCTTTTCTCCCATGTGGCCCTTTATGAAACCCACCAGCCTGGGGAGATTGTGGCCTAGGCTGGGATCCCTCAGGGCAGCCGTGTGGCTCTGGACTGCTGTGGACTGGTTCCCTAGGGAGAATGACTGCAAGCTTTGAGTGGCTACACAGGCTTCTCCCAGCCTGAAGCTACCCAAGTGGACAGTACCCCCTACACACACTAACCCCCTACAAGGCCAGTACTCAGAGTGAGGCGTGGTGGCCGCCTGCCTATCTTTCCCTTGGCCCCACCCATTTGAATGTAGAGGTTGGGGTGAAGATGTGCCTCAGCCTCTGGTGTGGGCACTTGAAGTGCCACAGCTGAGCCCATTCGGGCTGTGTGGTTATCATCTGGTAAGATGGTGATCTCATTGCCAAGTTCCTCCCACCTCCTGCCCACTGGGGAAGGAGCTCAGTGTCAGTGAGGTGGTATAGTTTTTTGCTTTAAGTGGCGGACCAGACCTGGCCGCCAGGTCTCAGCACAAGACCGCTTCCTTTGCACAGAATGAGCTCCGAGCTTTGTTCAGACTACATGAATGTATTGGGAGGGATTGGGATGGGGCACAGGCCTTCCCCTGGGGGATGTGTGCTGGGGAGAATCAGCAGGTGCAGAGTGCAGTTTTATTTTTGTACTGATGGGTAAGAGACTGTATAGCATCTATTTATTTAGATGATTTGTCTGGTAGATGAGGCAAAAATTATTAAAAATACATTAAAATGATTTAAAAATTCCTGTGTCTGATTATTTCTTTTGATGGTGTCATAGCTGTGTGACAACCAACTCCCCACCCCAAGACTACAGCCTAGGTTTTTTCTCCAGGTCTCCCAACTATAGTTTGTGATCTGGGACAAATCATTCAATCTTCCGAACCTTCTAGACCACCAGTGGAAATCAGCTGGGGACAGAAATGAGACTAGTGTGTCAGTGGGTAGGGCCCCTGCAGTGTCATCAGGGACTGGGCCTGCTTCTGTGGGCTTTGTTCTGCGTTTCCCCCCAGAGTATCTTGTTCTAGAACTTGGAGTCAACAGCCTGGGGCTCTGCAGTCCCAGGTTAGAGAACCCAGGTCTACTGTGAAGCTAGCTCATGTTCACACAGGCTCTGCACCCCTGACAGCCCTAGACAGGCAGGCAGGCAGTGCACAAAGCTTGGTGGGTGAGTCTGAGTACACCTGTGCTTCGGTTCCTCACTGGCTTGCGGGGTGGAGCTGGACAGGAACCTGGAGGAAGGTCAGACTGATGCAGTTGTCTGGGTAGAGGATAGCAGTGGCCACAATAAGGGATATTGTATAGGAGAGGTGCTTATGCTGGGGGTGTAGGGAGGCAGGAGAATTGTCACACTCAGCACTGATTGAATGTGAGGTGGGGCATGTGTGTGCATACACACCAAGATCATGCCTGAGCTTCCAATTGGAACATTGGGTAATTGTTTGGACCCCATCTGTAAGGAGACAGGGAAAAGAAGTAGATTTAGGAGTGTTCTGAGTTATCCCCAAAGCTGAGCCTGAGACCAGGATGTTCTGTGAGAAAAGTGTTTTGGGGGTGACTCGGGAGCAAAGTGAGAGGTTTGAATGAATGGAAGAATGGACAGCCACCACTGTGGTCACTAGGGTCAGTTGTGAAATAAGACTGTCTGAGATGTACACTGCATTGCCCAGTCCCGAGAATGGGGTGGGAGGGAAGCCTCTTACTGGGTGGCTGGCCTTACATGTGCTTGTGTCCACCTCCCTAACCACCCGCCTTGAACCTGGTATTGAACCTGGACTAGAAAGTGACATCTGCTGTCATTTGACCTGCAAAGGGGCCTTCCACATAGCATCCACAGCCAAGGTCAGAGGGGATGTCAAGAAAGCCACTGGAGGTGTGGTGTCTACTCCTGTTCTACCTAGCTCAACCCCACGGTAAGCTCACACTCTTTGGGACTCTCCGAAGAGGTGGCCTATGAAAACACAACAAAAGAGACTCAAGAACTTTTTGTTTGTTTTTGTTTTGGCTTTGTTTTGTTTTTCGAGACAGGGTTTCTCTGTGTAGTTTTGGAGCCTGTCCTGGATCTTACTCTGTAGACCAGACTGGCCTCGAACTCACAGAGATCTGCCTGCCTCCTCTGCCTGGGATTAAAGGCGTGCACCACCACTGCCTGGCTTTTTATTTTATTTTATTTTATTTTTTTGGAAGAACTTCTTGGTAGGATGGCCATTGGTCCTTGGAGGCCCTTCATATTGGCCCCAAGGTTGCAGTGAACAGTATCCATCTCCTGCTTCGCCCCCCTCCACTGGCATACTCACTGGTCAGTGCATTCGTCTGAGGGGACCAGGAGGGGACCAGTATAGGAGAGATGCTTATGCTGAAGATGTAGGGAGGCCAGAGAATTGTCACACTCAGCCCTGATTGAATGTGGGGTGAGGCATGTGTGTGCATACACACCAAGATCGTGCCTGAGTTTCCAATTGGAACACTGGGTAATTGTTTCATCGGAGGGGACCAGTTACCTTCCCTTCATCAACCAGGCCTTGCTTCCTATACTGTCTTAGTCTCCACTAGGGATGGGAACAGTAAGACTGCCTAGGGACAGCTCCAGGTTCCAGCAAGCTCCCCTCTCTCTCCTGCATGTGAAGCAGTAACCTCAGGACCAGTGGCAGCCTCGAGTAAGCGCTGTGTTAGCTTGTTTCTCGTTGACCCACTGGCAGCTTCTGAAGCGCGCCCCGCACTGCTCCCCTGGCAACAGGACCTCTGATCCTTTCCACAGGAGGAGCAGATTCGACAAGTCCAAGAAAGGACGTACTTAGCTTCCGGTCCTTGCCATTTCCTGGACATGGCAGCGTTCACTGGGCATGTGTACTGGGTCTTACAGAGGTGCCACCCACACAGACACCCCTCTCTGGGCTGTATAATTCATTGTCCCCACCAGCCGGCTACCCTGGATAGTGTCACATGGGGCAGGGCAGCGGGTCTGATGACCATGCTCACATGGCAGCATCCCCTTCCCTCCAACTAGGAGGCTGCTGCTACTGAAAGCCCCTATGGTAAGTCCCGTGTTTTGTCACCCATAGGTGGCAGCAAGGACCTAGGTGATGTGCAGTCTGACTAGGTGTTAAGCAGATGTAAATGACTCTAGAGCAGTGGTTCTCACCTTCCCCATGCTGTGACCTTTTCAGACAGTGCCTCATGTTGTGGTGATCCTCAACCATAAAACTATTTTCATTGCTACTTCATAATTTTGGGACGGTTATGAATTGTAATGGAAATACCTGATGTGCAGGCTATCTGATATGTGACCCCCAGAGGGGTCACGACCCACCGGTTGAGAACTGTTGCTCTAAAGGGTCAGGAGTCCCATGATGACCAACTAGCCATTACACTGGCAAGTGGCCTCCGGGAGGCTCAGCATCATGAGGGACCCACCGCCAGTTCCCGACTCTGACGGACACTGAACCCTCAGGTAGCCTCCGCTGCCCATCTCACCTGCTCCAGGGACTGTGCCACTGGGCAGATGCTGGGGTGAGGACTGAAGTTGGCCGTCATCCACTGTCAACAGATGGAGGGGGAATGAATCTCCCACTCTTGTGGGAGACTTTCCTGAGAGTCCTCTGTGGTGCTTGTTCTCCTTGCTGGTCTCAAGCCGTACTTTATGTACACCTGCAGTCTCCGTGTTGGGGAGGCTGAAGCAGGGGGATTGTGAATTTGAGCCTAGCCTGTATATAGGCTGGGTCTACATAGTGAGTCCCTCTTTTACAAATAAGTAAATAAATAAATAAGTAAATAAATAAATAAATAAAAATCCAAGTAGGGGTCAGACATGGTACTACATGCCTTTAAGAGCACTTTCCAGTCGGGCGGTGGTGGCGCACGCCTTTAACCCCAGCACTCGGGAGGCAGAGGCAGGCGAATCTCTGTGAGATGGAGGCCAGCCTGGTCGAATTCCAGGACAAGCTCCAAAGCTACACAGAGAAACCCTGTCTCGGAAAAAAAAAACAAAAAAAACAAGAGTACTTTCCAGGGGCTGGAGGGATGGCTCAGCAGTTAAGAGCACTGGCTGCTCTTCCAGAGGACCCGGGATCAATTCCCAGCAACCACATGGCAGCTCACAATTGTCTGTAACTACAGTTCCAGGGGATCAGACACCCTCACACAGACGTGAATATGGACAAAACACCAATGCACATAAAATTAAATAAAATCTTTTTTTTTTAAAGTACTTTCCCAGCACTCTGACAATAGAGGCAAGCAGCTGTTTATGAGTTTGAAGCTAACTTGGTCTACATAGGGAATACCAGGCAGCCAGGGTTACAAAACCCAAACAAAAAGATGGGCGTGGTGGCCCGTACCTGCAGAGCCTGCATACTCGGAGGCAGGAGGGTCAAGGAGCTCAAGGTCATCCTTGGCTATGTAGCAATTTTGAGGCCAGCCTGGGCTATGTGAGACTCTCACCAAAAAAATAAAAGAAAAAAAGAAATGCAGGAATTGAAAAGGAGGGACGGAGGAGGACACTAACAGTGTCCGGGCTGACACTGTTTACATTAAGTCGACTCAGCATCCCACCACCTGGAGATCTCAGCATCCCACCACCTGGAGATCTCAGCTCCTTTACAGAGACTCCCAGGCTGATAGCCCCCCTGCAGAGGGAGAGGGAGTCCAAAGAGCTCAAGGCAGACCTCCCAAGCAGGCCCCAAATGGCCTGAGAGGACCAGCAGGGGAGATCAGCCTGGGTGTTCGCTGTGGTGAGGATGTTTGTGAGCTAGGTAGCCAGAGCTCAACTAAAAAGGGGGTCACCCCACACCTGCACACTCTCATCAGCTCTCCCAGGTGCAGAAGGGAGGGGAAGGTGGACGATGTCTTCACACCCACACTTCCGGAGCATGCTCATCACTGTGGTGGCCCTGGTACCAGGTGTCCTGGCCAGCCTGTGACATCCTGTAGGTGGCAGGCCTCTGTTCCACAGGTGCTTGCTGGGTAGCCATGTTCTTATGTTCTTTTGACACTCCAGCTACTGCATCGTTGTGAGGGAGTCTACTTGTAAGTGTGGTCTGAGCTAACAACGAGGGGGGTGGTGGGTGGGGAGGTGGGGGTATGTGTGTGGCACCCAATGCTGGTTGGTTTTTGTCAACTTGACACAAGCTACAGTCATCTGGAAGGAAGGGACCTCCACTGAGGAAATGCCTCCATCAGATTGACCTGTGGGCAAGCCTTTGAGGTCTTTTCTTGATTCATGATTGATGTGAGAGGGTCCAGCCCACTGTGGGCAGTGCCACACTAGGCAGGTGGTGCTGGGGCATATAAGAAAGCAGACTGAGCCGGGCGGTGGTGGCGCATGCCTTTAATCCCAGCACTCGGGAGGCAGAGCCAGGCAGATCTCTGTGAGTTCGAGGCCAGGCTGGTCTACAGAGTGAGATCCAGGACAGGCACCAAAACTACACAGAGAAATCCTGTCTTGAAAAAGCAAAAATAAAAACAAACAAACAAAAAAACAAAACAAAAAAGAAAAAAGAAAAGAAAAGGCACACCGAGCAAGCTATGGGGACCAAGCCAGTAAGCAGCACCCCTCTATGGGCTCGGCTTCTGTTCCTGCCCCCAGGTTCCTGCCTTGACTTCCCTTTTTGAGGTACTGTGATCAGGATGTGTAAACCAAACAAGCCCTTTCCTCCCAAGTTGCTTTTGGTCATGCTGTTTATCACGGTAATAGAAAGAACACTAAGACAGAGCCTCTTCCCCACAGGCTCTCAGGCCCTGTAAGGAA